CTATCCATGCCAACAGCAGGAGGGTTGGAACTAGATGACCTTAAGGGTCATTTCCAACACAAACCATTCTATGATTCCATGACCATTATGGAATGAGACAGTTGCAATAATGCAGAAATATATGTTGTATGGGAACTGCTGAGTCACAGCCTGAACCACTGACTGATCACATGGGGAAAGGACAGGATCAGCCCTGGGAGCACAGGTGAAGGCAATTCAGCTGTGCAACCAGAAGGGGTGGAGTGCACTTCTTTAGCTGTTCATAGGTCTAGTGCCATCCTAGTTTGAAATACCACTTTGGATAAAGAGGATATTTCCTCTTGGATTGCTCGTAATGCATCTGTTGTGGCATTTTCTACTATGTCTAGAGTTGCAGAGATATTCATTATAGCCTTTTCTATCTGAGCTACTCCTAAGATTGGGATTAGGGCTCTCACAAAGCTATGGTATCCTGTATTGTACCTTACCAGTGGATTATTTACCCTTTTAGCCCTCCTTGGATTTTGATAGTAGCTCCACATAGTTCTCACTATGCCTGGTGGGAGTTCTACAAGGGAATGCCTCTGGCCACTCTAAAAAGGTATCAGTTAGTTCCAACATACCCCTTTTCTTGGGAGTTCCAAGAAATCAATTTGCCATTGTTGCCCCAGAAGGTTCCCTTTTCCCTTCTGAGGGAAAGTCCCCACAGGTAATGGTTGTACTTCGTTTACCTTGTCTGTAGCAGTTACTGCATATCCTGCCTTACAGTTTCTTTGTTTCACAGAACTGCTACTGTTGGTAAACCAGGTGTCTTCTGCATCTTCTAAGGGCTCATCCTTCAGATCCGACCAGCTGGAATATGCAGCTTCAGTTGTTTCAAAGCAGTCATGAAATACTGGTTCTCCAGGAGTTCCGCTAAGGAAAGATACTGGGTTGACAGTACTAATTACAATTATTTCTACATCATCCTGCTCTACCAGGATGGCAGGAACCTTTGGGGTGAGAGCCAATGCCCCCCTTTTACCTCCAATACAGTAGACACGGTATGAGATATTAAAACTGTTATTCTTTGGCCTAGCATAACTTTACTGGCTTCTTGAATATTGAGCAATAGTGCAGCCTCTGCCCTCAAGCACCCTGGCCATCCCTTATTCACTTTATCAAGCTGTTTGGAGAAGTGTGCCACTGCCCCTTTGATAGTATCCAAGGCTCTGGGCAAGGACTCCCAGGGCTATTCGTTTTTCATGTGAGAACAGCCAGAAGGGTTTAGTCATGTCTGATGGCCCCAAAGCAGAGGGCCTTCATGAGTTCCTGTTTCAGCTGAGGGAATGCCCTCCTTGCTTCCCCATTTCATAGAATATTTTGGCTTTACCAGCAGTCCATAGCTGTGTATCCACAGTCAGCACCATCCTGTCTTTCCTGTGAACGTACAGAGTTCCTTGGCAGTTTGTGGCTGAGGGGACTGGCAGATGGTTTCTTTCCTGACAGTCCTTAAGGTCAGAAGTCCAGCTGTAATCTCATAACCCAAACACGTCACTTGCTGCTGAGTTACTTGCGCTTTCTGTTGAGAAGCTTGATAATCATTTAAACCAAGAAATTCAGTAAACTCACAGTCCATTGCACACAGTCCTCTTTTGTTTCCGTGGCATCCACATCCTGCAGTAAAGCTCCACCCTGGGATGGAGGAACCCAAGTCTCAGGTTCACGAATTGACCAGCTCTCAAAAATCACTGAGCTGTTCTCATAACACTGGGTAACACTGTCTAGGTTAACTGAGTCTTTTTATCCCCATATTAGGGTTTTCCTATTCAAAGGTAAATAACCTTAGGCTTCCTTTGGCCAAACCAGGCAGAAAAGGCATCCTTCAAATCCAGAAGGTAAACTCCACCTACTCATTCCTTAACTTGGTTAATAAAGTGTATGAATTTTCTACCACTGAGTGCATGCATTCAACTATTCTATTACTTGCCCTCAAATCTTGTATCAAACTATAGCACTTTTCAATTTTTCATCAGCAAGTTTGGAGTATTGTATTTGGATTCATATTCAATTAGTAATCCAAACTCCAAAAATTATCTATTATTTCTTTTATTGTTTTACAATCACATATCCTCAAAGGGCACTGCTTTACCCTGCCTGGGCTCTTACTTTTAACTTCTTTTTAGGGCTGCATTTTTGGCCCTGCCAGGTATCCCTGATATACACACTCCTAAGTGTGTATATATACCTTATTTAAGATTTCTGTAACTTCTGGGGTACAACCTTATTTTTTTACCAGTTTGTGTTAAAGGCAGAATTACAATTCTCAATCAGCTAATGTTTGACCCTTAGCTCCAGTTTTATTAAATTTCTTGCCAGAGTAACCTAAACTGGCACGCACCAGAATTTAGGTAGTATTCCTACCTGTTTTCTCAGCTTATATTTAATTGATCCCAAAAAGTAAGCCTTTTCTTATTGGGCAGTAAGTCCTACTACTGTTACAAAATCATCTATGGGTGGGTAAGAGGCACCAGTATCCACCAGAAAATAAACCTCTTTATCCTGCTCCCCTAGCTGCAAGTTAATCAGTGGATCTGCTACGGTAAACTTCCCAGGTTCCCATCCTTCAGCTTTGCAACCAGAACAGTTCCCTCTCAGTCATCTTGGTAGGATTTCTCCACCAGTGTCCCATTTCACTGCAGTTTGCTACAGTGGGGTGGAGCCCTCTCTGGGCTCTTCCAGCCCTCCCACCTCTCTCTGAGGGGATCTCTGGGTCCTACAGCCCTGCTCTAGCACTGCAAAAGTAACAGCTGCTGTTATTCCCAATTTCCTTACTATCTCTGTTTCTCAATCCATTTGTTGTTTTTTTTTTCCTTTTCCTTCATATCGCTCACCTCTCTTCAGTCCTGACATCCCTGTCATACCCTGCTCATCTTTACTTTCCTCAGCCTGTGTCCTTCCCAAACTCTCATCATTACATAAACTACTAACATCATATTTCAATTTTTACCTTCTCCTCTCCAAAGGCTTCCAGTGCTAACACTGGGATTTCAGGTTTCCTAGATCTCTGCAGATGAAGGCTATTCTCACTTCCTGTGCTCCATTCTCTCCACCTCCCCTTTTTGCAAGTAATGCTGTTTACAGCAGCAGTCTCTGGCCCCAGCTCAGTCTCTCACTCTAAGAGATCTGTCTGTGGGGGAACGGTATGAGGGGGTTGCTCTCATGCCAGCATAGATAAACTTCACTTTCTCTTTAACCCTTTTTCCTTTGTATACTATTCGTACCCTAAGTTACACTTCCACATACACCCTCAATTCTGCTTCCACATATCATCAACAATTACACTTTCTTATACCATCAAAAAAGTTTGTCCCACTCCCTTCAAAACCCACAAATCAAACCATACAGTCCTTCAGTTTCCATAAACACCCTTAATACCATATAATTTTCCCCTAACAATTTATATTGTTTGGTTATAAACATCTTGTCACAGAACTAGCACTGATTGACCCACCTTCCTCACACACCTCCTTGCAAGCAGAACACAGTATTACATGAATGAGTTGACATTCACTCCCTGAATGAAGCAGAAATCTCTCTACGGGTTCGTCATCCCCATTCATAAATTAGTACAAAAATGTACAGACAGACACTCAGACAACAATCATTGTTATACTCTGCAGTCACCCTGCAGCTATGCCGCAATGTCTCATGTATTCAACACACTCACTTGCAATCACACATAATGCCAACTTTACACTTTACCAAATCAGAGCTCTGAACTCCTTTCAAGTGTTTTGAAAGCAATTACTCAAAAACACGGTACCAAACACTTACAATAGATGGTGATAACGAGAATACAATCTATAACTTCCACGTTATCATTTGACAAGATACCCGCTGTTACCGATCACCTAAGGGAGAGCTATTGATCTTTCCTTGCATACTACTTACAGGTCCCCTTCGTAGGAACTTCCCCAAGGAGTCTTCCTATCCCAGCTGGCAACCTAACCCATGAGTTCATATTTCTCAGGGGAGGGAGCATGCACAATGCACACTCCTTCATACCCCACGCAGGACGTCTCCTCATGACTTACAGGTTCCCCCTTCCCATACACATACCTGGTCTGCTGATGGATGGTCCTTGTCTGATCCCGCAGTGATCGGATGAGAAAGGAGCATCCTTCCGGGAAATCTCAGGGCACGCCAAAGGGGTCTCCCCTCTCAACTGGACCCGCAGCCAGAGGTTGCCCCATCTGGGTCACCAAATTGACATGTGAAAATCAAATCCTGTAGCCAGATTAAGGAATTAGAGCAGGTATGTTTATTTCAGCGGTGTGCATACACTGGGTGCAAAGGGGATAGATCTGCCTAACTTGCACACCGTGAGGAAAAATTGTGCTACAGATATAGGCCAAACTAAAACATAATCAATTGTTTCCAGGAATTTGGATACATATTCATTAGATTTCTGAGAACCCATCAGCATGCAGACCCTCCCCCTCGCGCGTGCATAGTGAGTTATGGGGGTCTCCTCCCAGTGGTCATGGGATGAAGAAACAGTCTTCCTCGTGAAGGCTCCTAGTCTTCCTTGCTGTAAACTTCTGACCATGTAGGAGGGGCAGCCCCCGATCCAGTCCTAGCCTGCCCTGAGGACATCTTATCACCTCCCTGCTGGCTGTTCTCTAACCCCCACATTGTCTCAGTCTCAGTGTCTGCAATCCCCATTCTTCTAGCAACCTCTACATGTTTACTTCTGTAAACTACCTTTAATTATATCCAGTTCCTGTGAAGCCCTTTTCTCATCTTTTGCTATGGGGCCCTTCTCTCATTCTTCAGTCTGACCTAATTTAGACAGTGAAATGCCAAAAGTAACTGAAATATGTATATGGAATCTACTTGAAAAGAAGATGACCAAAACAATTAAAAACAATAGCAGATGCTCAGCAAGAAGAGGGATACTTTAGGCAGGATTAGTTCTGCCATTTCTGACAAAGTAAGCATGTAAGGACAGCACAAAATTACATTCAGTAATTAGCCAATCATATTTTCTGCTTCTATTACATCAGAAAATTATAGAACTAAGTTGATAACTGCATGGGAAAGTAGAAACTACAACATCCTTCCCTGCTTTCTGCTGGAAGTCTTCACAAGTGATACTGCATAGTAATGCATAGTAATAGTAACTCTGCAAAAGGGAAAGGACCTCTACTGAAGAGTGAGGTAGAGGCTGAAGCTGTTTACTGTGACACTGATAAGACATTAATGGACTGTTTGTTGTGCACTGTCCAGACATTCCTGAAAATCTGTAACTGCCAATTTCCTCTGAACACTTCATTCCCTTTACTTCATCCTCAGTCAGCACCTGCTTTCACTTTGCCTGACTGCCTTTTTCTTCCTTCTCTTTATAGTAATCATACTTCACCAAGAAAAGGAATTATGACACTAACTTGATGTTTTTCTCCTACTCACATAACATTAAACCTTTCAGAACTCACCTTTCTTAGGCACACATCACCTAATGCGAGTGCATTACATAAGATGTGCTTCTGATGACCTCTGAAGGCTAAAGTAAGTGCTGCTTAACTGCTAAAGTACTGAACTGATGAGAATGTTTTTATGAAGAATGCTCAAAAACCCAAATAAACTGTCAACAGCAAAAAAAAAAGACTTCTATAAAGAAATAAAAGCAAGGAGTGCTACATAGTACTCCAGCTTCAAGGTGTAAGCTAGTAACCACTACCAAAACATCATTTTTGTTTTGTGATATTATCATCCCTTTACTCACGAACAGCACATATAGGGATTAGTAAAACATTCAAAATATACAAGCTGCCACAGACTATGGGGCCTTTGTGAAGAACAAATAGACTAAACCACTAACTTAATTC